GGAAAACGAAGAAGTGCTCCAGATGAAATAGAAGCACTGGATATCGATTGATTAGTAGCTCTTTACCAAAATTATAAGTGAATATTCCCTCAAAAAGGAGCCAATCACTCATGGTGTATTCAAATCAAGAGTAAAAAAAGTTATTCTCTCATCCCAGGGTAAAGGTGACAAGAATATCTGGGCCCATTTGGCAAACTTCCTGAACTCAGGCAGCTTGAACGACTAAATTTGAAAAGCAAAACTTCATGTCTGAATGAATTATTAGAACCATATAAAAGTAAAGTGAAGTAAAGTACAAATTATGACATAACATCATCACACATGTCTACAAAGTATCAAATCACTATATGGAAAAATATAAATATCTTACCACAAAAACTAATAAATTATTAACTACAACTTTATTAAAAAATTTCAAATAAGTTCAAAAAGCATCCCCAAAAGATAACCCTATTCATACTTCCCAGTGGAATAAAGATTTATAAATCGCTTTTTTGCCACAAAAGGGTGGAAATAAAGATAATCGTTATGCTTCTCTTTATTACTAACATAGCTAGGTCCTTCAATTCTCCCTAATACTTCATTTGAAAAATTCCAAAAATGTGAATCATTAGAAATATCCTTAGCAATCATATCTTTTTAAACCCTTCTAATTTAATCTTAAAACTTAAAACAGTCACCGAGTTCTTTGTTTATTGCTCTGATGTATGCAATGAAATCACGATGGTTGTTATCTATCTATCTGAAAACGTATATAATTTGTAATGCAATACATTATAGAATAAATACAAGTAGAAATATCAATAACAGTTCCTATCTTACTAGAAAGATTAACTGAAAACTATACTAGGAAAAGCTAAGCACAGTTACAAAGTGTAACACTCTACTCACCACAGTAGAGTTCAGGGTGATCTTGCTAAAGGGGAAAGATTGGTTAGAACAATCTCCACCCTATCTAAGTCTAAAATATAAAAGTTAAAACCCCAGAGGTATGGAACTACTAACTGTGATAGATAAATCAATTCAAAAGTCTAAAACAACAACAACATCGATTCAAAAGTATAAAATGCTTGTTAAAAAAGAACAACTTAGAAGAATAAGCTAAATATTGAATAAATTAATAATTTAACAATGTCCATTAAAATGTTATAAAAGTTTGTTCATTACAATGTTAAAAGGCATTCTGAAGTATGGTGAGTTCTCAAGTCTCAAGAGCCAACTCCGTTGGGTCCAGGTCAGTTTGTAGTAAACTGCAAACCTTTGATATCTGTAGCCTAATTTCTCAATCCTCAGTCCTCACAAAGGAAGCTTTCATCCTTAATCCTATACTTCTCTCTAAACAGACTGCCCAGACAAAATATAGAGAAACACTCAAGATAGACCGTAGAACTTAACACATTCAGAAATACCAGTCTAGTTGTAGTATGTGCTTGGCACTGTTCTCAGGACAAAAACTTCTTCAGACATCATCTCGGCAAACTTGATACTCTCTTCATTTCCATTGGGTTCAACTATGGGAGGAGGTTCAGGAGGGTCTTTCTTAAGTAGCCAGTCTACTTTGTCTAAATTGACCCCGGAAAAACTTCCGTCTTCTGAAATGACATTCCAGTAGTTCTTGTTCATGCTGTTGACAGTGTATCCTCTAGACTTAAGCTGCACTTTGTGCCATGTATCCGAATCAGGTTCTTGGAATACCACTGTGTCTCCTTCACTTACTGCAGTTATCAAGCCTTCATTTTTCTTCATAGGTTTCCTTGCCTTTGGAGGTTTCTTTGTTTGATCCACTTCTTCGGTAGTTCTCTCAATAGTTGTTTCTGGAGTGTCTTTAACTTCAACTATTGTAGGCTCTGCAGTTCCACCAGGTAGGTTGTTTGTTGTTTCCTGTGGTTCTTCTTGATCTGTCGTTCTAGTTATGGTTTGGATCTCAGGTTTTACTTGAGCACTTATCTCTTCAGGATCAAGATTTGGAATGTTGAAGTCTCTTAAAGTAGAATTATGATCAAAGTTTGTTTCTTGAGCTCTGGCGTGAGATCTCTCTTTACTATTCATCTGCTCATCTGCTTCTTGTTTTGGAACCATCATGTTTTCTTCCTGGATTGGGATCGTATAGTGACCTGATTGAGTCAACTCTAGCTTGTAATCTTCTCCACGGATGGTAATGGTGTCTGTCTCGAAATTAAGTTGCACTCCCATGTACTTCATTGATTTCAAAGATAATAGAAGAGGTATGTCACTGTTAACGATGTGTACTTCAAGCCGAATTTTGTGGGTACAAATTGTGACTGGGATAATCACTTTCTTAGAAGATTCTAGGGTTCCTACTCCAAATCTAAAGATGATTTCTGCTGGGAATTCTTTAACAGTGCTTCTTGTCTCGTCATCTAGAGAATCTAGAAAGCACGAATACCAGTTTTCCCCGGCTACTGTTCTACTTGCTCCTGAGTCTAACAAAGCTTTATTGACAGTTTCTCCAACTAGAAAAACAGCTTCTTCTTCTTGACGGACGTTCCATTGGAAGAATATGGGTTTCGCTGTAGGCATAGGTTTTTCATAGTATTCTTGGTTGTATCCGTAAAACTCTTCATTGTTGGGAATCATGTCTGATAGATAATAAGGAGTCTGCTGGTTGTAATAGGCTGGGTTGGGCGATCCTTGTCTGTAGCCTGAGTGTTGGTCATAAGGCATGGTGTGATGTTGGTAAGGCGGCCTTTGGAAGTTCATTGGCTGTCTGAAAGGAGCTCTAAGAGGGCAGTCTCTGATCCAGTGTCCTGGAGAGTAGCATCCGTAGCAAACCTGTCTGTTGTCATTTCTCTGGCCGAAAGCTCTCTGTTTTCCTCTAACATTGTTTCCAGGTCTGTTCCTATTGAACATTATTTGCTCTTCTGGGAGAGTATTTGAGTCTGTTGTCTCTTTTTTACCAGCTTCTGTTGGAAGTTGTCCATCGTCTAAAGCTAGATAGCATGGCTCTGCTTTCACTTTAATAGGAAGACTATCAGATTCTTCTGATTTGGACTTATTGAGTTGGGAATCAGCCAATCTCATGAGTGATTTCTTCATATCTTCCATTGTCATAGCTGTGCAGGTGGCTCTAGCTAACTTCTCATCTGCATTGGACAGATTGGCAGCTTTTAGTAATTTATAGGCCAGCACTAGTTCAGGAAGTGTCACTCCTTCTGTCTTCAGTTCTCGTTCTAGACTCTCGAATATCAGGATAAACTCAGTCATTCTCTGTTCTGAGTTTCTTCTTAAATTTTCAAATCTTTCATATTTTCCAAGAGTATCATCACTCTCTAGGTAAATCTCATCTAACTTGGCTATAAGTAGCTCAACACCGACTTTAGTCTCAGTTGTCTCAGCATCAGCCTTCTTGGTCTTAAGAAGTGCTTCATCTATGGTTAGAGCAATGTCTAATGCTTTGTCTTTGAGAAACATGGTTAATCACCTGATCTCACACTCCCTTCACGAAGGAGTATTCCCCGAAAAGCTTAAACTTGCTAAGGTTATCCCACTCCATAAAGGAGGATCGCGCAGCGAAATTACAAACTACAGACCAATCTCACTTTTGTCCTGCTTCTCAAAGATATTCGAAAAAATAATGCATGCACGTTTAGTAAAGCACCTAAAATCACGAAATATTCTATATGCGTCGCAATTTGGTTTTAGATCGGGTCACAGTTGTGAACATGCGTTGCTTGAAGCTCAGTTTAACTTACATAAAGCTCTAGAAAGGAAGCAAGTGTCAGCATTACTGCTTCTTGACTTCTCCAAGGCGTTTGACCTAGTAGACAGTGAGATACTGCTACATAAGCTGGAGCACTATGGTGTAAGAGGCCTTAGCTTATCCTGGTTTGAGTCTTATCTAACTAACCGGAAACAGTATGTTCACGTCAACGGTTGCAGTTCAGAAAAAATGGGATTGGAACATGGAGTTCCTCAAGGGTCCATTCTTGGTCCTATATTGTTCATTATTTACATAAACGACCTTGCAAATGTAAGCGATATAGCCCATTATATTTTCTTCGCTGATGATGCAAACATCATCGTTTCTGCCGACACGTACACTGAACTGAACATGCGTGCAAACAGAGTTTTAAATACTGTACAGACATGGGTTAAAAACAACGGTCTTAAACTTAATGTAGGAAAAACTAAATACATGATATTCACTAACAGATTACCAGAGGATATAAATATTAGTATAGAAGGACAGCGACTAGTGAAAAGTGAACATGAACGATTTTTAGGTGTCATTATTGACTCAAAACTTAGCTGGAGCCAGCACATTAAACAGTTAAAGACTAAAATATCCAGAAATGCAGGCGTAATGATGAAACTTAAAAGTTCCATTCCGAATAAAGCTCAAAAAATGCTATACAATAGTTTAATTCAATCTCACCTGTATTACTGCGCTACTGTTTGGGGTACTAAATCTTTAAATTCCATTCAGTCTTTATTCTCTGCTCAAAAGAAAGCTATTCGCGCCACTGATTCAGAATATCATAACTATTTTTACGACAAAGAAAAACGTAAACTACCATCTCACACAAAATCCATCTTCAACAAAATAGGAATTTTAGCTCTTCCTAATCTCATTGCTAAAAGCTGTCTAACTTTGATGCACAAGGTTTATATGGGAGTAGCACCATCGAGTATCTGTAGTATATTTGAAAAATCACCGCTTAGACAAACGGAAAGGAGAAATCCAAAGTATTTTGAAATTAAGTTCAACAGATTACGGATCACCGATTATAGCATCTCTAAAGTAGGACCACGATTATATAACAACACGATAAACGAAATAAATAAAATCCTTCCCTTCAACGTACCTAAGTTACAAGATAAGTTTATTAATTCATACAAGGACAACATTGTACGTTACTTACAGGACAAACAAAAACTTGACCTAGAAAACCTTTCGTGGACGGACAAGAACTTTGTCCTTTACAACTTTTAAACAAAATATTAGCAAAATATAACAGCTGTAAGAATCCTAAACGTTAGTGCAGTCAAATAAATGAACTGCGATAATGCATTTGACAGTCAGTCACTGCAATTTATTCTGCAACTTATTTTTCAATTTTCACTGCCACACTTAGGCTTATCTTGCCTACACATTTTTTAAAACGAAATTCCTTGCGCACCGCGTACTAAAATTACTTGGATTTCTACCGCTTTGATAAATGACTACAAGAAGATGGGGAGTTAATATTGTTGATTTATATAATATAGATTATTTATTCTTTAGTGTAGATTAACTTTATTTTTATATATTTTACCAAGTGTGAAGGATCAACCATACGTTATTGATATTTTTGAAATATTTAACGATAAATTGATATAATAATAAATGATTGTAATATTTTTATTGAGGCACATGCCACCCCATCGCGGGTTTACTACTACTACTACTACATGATCAGCGTCATTGCTTTGTGTTCCTCTGATACCGTTGATACAGTTACCCATATCTTAGCAAGCTGGCGGTACCGTTTATAACCAGTCCCATTAAATGATGGTGTGTCCTTTGACATCTTCACAGTAGTTGACGTAGTTGTAGTTGATGTAGTTTGAGTTTTAGTTGACGTCGTTGTAGTTTGAGCTTGCGCTTGCTGCTACCACTGTTTATTGCTCTGATGTATGCAATGAAATCACGATGGTTGTTATCTATCTATCTGAAAACGTATATAATTTGTAATGCAATACATTATAGAATAAATACAAGTAGAAATATCAATAACAGTTCCTATCTTACTAGAAAGATTAACTGAAAACTATACTAGGAAAAGCTAAGCACAGTTACAAAGTGTAACACTCTACTCACCACAGTAGAGTTCAGGGTGATCTTGCTAAAGGGGAAAGATTGGTTAGAACATTCTTAACATCTGGAGGAAGTTTGTTCCAGTAAGGAATAACTCGCTCTGGAAGAAATGAACTTTGGAGATTCCTAATCTTTGCCATACTCTTACAACATCTGTTGGATGATACAAGATTAAGACCAGATCTGCTCACTTTGAACAAATCTGAGCCGTACTCGGTTAAACCATTAATAACCTTAAAAGCTTCAATAAGGTCCCCACGTATTCACTGCTCTGCCAGGGTTGTCAAATTGAGAATTTCCAGTATACGGTTGTAAGGAAGAGTACCCACCTCATTAATAAGACGGGTAAACCGCCTCTGGACGCTCTCCAGCTCCAAAACAATCCCCAAACTTCCATGAGCCGCAACTGGATTCCACAATTGGTCACAATACTCTAAATGAGGTCTTATTAAAGCTTTATAGATGGTTATCATAACTCCTTTTTCCATTATTACTAAATTTCTTATAATCCAACATATCATACGATTTGCTTTAGAAATGCATGCTTTTATCTGCTCATTCCAAAGCAAGGAGTTATGGGTAATAACCCCAAGGGTTTTACACCCTGGAGCCAAATCCAACGCTAATCACAACACCCCAGCAAAGATGTACAGCAAGCATGAGAGAGAGAAAGAAAGGAAATATGGAGACCGCTGTGTACAGATTGAAAAAGGAACCTGCAATGGCCTTGTATTCTCGACCACCGGAGGTATGGGCCCACAGGCTACCATGTTCCTTAAACGAGTAGCAACACTTCTGGCAGCCAAGACCAGCCAGGACAAAAGCCTCATTATGGCAAATCTCAGACGTCGTTTGCAGTTTGAGCTACTTAAGACAGTATTGATTGCAGTGAGAGGACACAGAGGACGGTATTATGAGAAAGCAATACCTGTTGACGAACTGGACCTAAATCTTGCACACACCACCAACGATGAAGACAGGGGTGATGATGTTGATGATGAAGATGATGAAGTTGATGATGAGGCTGAGAATGTAGAGGAAGAGGTTTCAGAAGAGTGAGCTGAAAAGAAGACAAGTTTCTATTCTAATTTATTGATTATTATATTTATTGCAATAAACATATAATATTCATTACTCCAGGAGTGATGACAGGATATAGAAAAAAATAACCCCCCAGTCTTTTTCCTGAGCAGATGCTTCAAGTTTTACACCATTAACAAAATTTAAGTTAGGATTATTATTAAGATTAACATGAACTACTTTACATTTGGCAGGATTTAACTTTAAAAGCCAAATACTCTCCCAAACTTCCAATTCTGCAATATCATCAGCAACACTCTTATGTTTAGCCGCATTACCAATCAGCTTAAGATCATCAGCAAATAGTTTTATTTTATTCTTAACTATATCAGGTAAATCATTTATATACAGCAAAAATAAGAGAAGATGATTGGACTGAGTTTCCCCGGGTAAAATCGCAAAAAACTGATTTTTGGGCCAAAAAACCATGTTTTTTGAACTTTTGAGCAAGTTAATTTCGTTGAAATATCACCAAAATTTGCATAACGATAGCTCGAACATAACCGCACAAAATGATACTAAAATAAAAGAAATCGTTTCATTTTTCCTTGGGTAAAGATTAAAAAAAGTGGTCAAATTTTAGGCTTTTTGCGCGCATTTTATTTTTCGTACTTAGCTGCTTGTAATTACATTTAGTTTAAATATATTAGATACAATTATGAGCAAAAAATTAATTTTAAGTGGAACCAAAATTTTAGGTGCGCCGCGCAAAGTTTAGAAAATTCACATTGTATTATGAAAATCGAGCGCTTACACAAATACTGTCATATTTTCAAAAGAATACATAATAGTTTTTGCGTTATTGTTGCATTTCGTAACCCCTTTGCACTCTGTTTGGTTACTTTTCTGACGTTTAATTTTATTGCTTGTTGTTTTTATGTATTCTCATTGATGTGGAGTACCCATTCATACTTTTTCACATCGTTTTTATCATATACTTTTTCCTTTAAGGTCTGCTCCTTTTGTGACATTTTATTACAAAATAAAATTATTTGCTGATGATCTTAAGCTGATTGGTAATGCGGCTAAACATAAGAGTGTTGCTGATGATATTGCAGAATTGGAAGTTTGGGAGAGTATTTGGCTTTTAAAGTTAAATCCTGCCAAATGTAAAGTAGTTCATGTTAATCTTAATAATAATCCTAACTTAAATTTTGTTAATGGTGTAAAACTTGAAGCATCTGCTCAGGAAAAAGACTGGGGGGTTATTTTTTTCTATATCCTGTCATCACTCCTGGAGTAATGAATATTATATGTTTATTGCAATAAATATAATAATCAATAAATCAGAATAGAAACTTGTCTTCTTTTCAGCTCACTCTTCTGAAACCTCTTCCTCTACATTCTCAGCCTCATCATCAACTTCATCATCTTCATCATCAACATCATCACCCCTGTCTTCATCGTTGGTGGTGTGTGCAAGATTTAGGTCCAGTTCGTCAACAGGTATTGCTTTCTCATAATACCGTCCTCTGTGTCCTCTCACTGCAATCAATACTGTCTTAAGTAGCTCAAACTGCAAACGACGTCTGAGATTTGCCATAATGAGGCTTTTGTCCTGGCTGGTCTTGGCTGCCAGAAGTGTTGCTACTCGTTTAAGGAACATGGTAGCCTGTGGGCCCATACCTCCGGTGGTCGAGAATACAAGGCCTGCCTGAAGTCTAGGATGAAGCAATCACTGCTCGTCAACCAGCATAACCATGCTGATCTTGATTGGACAAACAAAGATTTCGAATGCTCTAATCTAAATTTTGACATTAAGTCTACCCTAGGGTCCAAACATCCAAAATGATTATCTTGAAATTGAAAATTAGCTGGGTGTGCATTTTCCTTTGTCTTACTAACGTGTGTGAGCGCAGTGTAGTGAGAAAGTGTTTTTAACAGATTTATTATTAGACTTAGGATTATGATTTTTAATATATTACATTGATATAAGATTTATTTTTGATAGGTACTTAATAAAGTTGATGAATTTCCCTCCCTATTAAAATTTTAAACCCATTTAGTGAAAATTGATAAACGAAGATCTAGATATTGATACATATTATAACCAACATTGCTTATATTCTGCCTTGTAAACAAAGAGCAAATCTTCTTAATGCCTTCTTCCTGTCCTAAAACTAAAACTTCATCCTATTAAAGTAAAGGCCAGTTGTTACCACAAGCTATTATACCGTCCCTCTCAAAAACATGCCTCAGCCTCCATCAAAAACAATTTTAGTTTTCAGTCCTTCTAGTTTCCAAAAATCTACCGAGCTAGTGTTCTGGTGTGCACAAA